CACCTGCATTAGTACGAAAGCGTCTAGAAGAGTATTCGTTCAGGATAACTTTCATTTCATGCTTTGATAAGAAAGACCGGATCAGTTAAAAAATCTGTCCGCCAAAAGAGTTAAAATTGATTAAATAACGCACCGGTTCTCAGGCGTAGAGTAAGTATGCTAATCATGCCAGATCATTCACTAGTTCTGGGAATTCTATTTAGAAAAAATCTAAAATAACATAACTACTATTGCTAGGAAATTATTTCCTCAAGAGACGCTCGATAATTTGTGCAGCAAATAGGTTTATCCTTACTGAAAAAAAAAATGATGGTCCTGTCAGCAATAATAGTATTTAGAATTTGTTGTTACTTTCTGCCATAGAACTTATTCGTCAAAGATGAATTGAATATGAATTCGTTTCCTAACGAGAACTACACGGATCTGGTTCTGTGTCTTAGTTGAATTAGTCAGATAAATCCCTAATTTGTGAAGTGTGGAGATGAGAGAAGCACATAGTTTAGCTTTCTCGTCAATAATTATACATTATTAACTGATGTAACAGAGAGTTGCTTCATTCTAAAATTTTAATCTATACTACATACGAACACACAGTGGAAAATTTTTCTTAGACATAAATAATAATAATTATAAACTATAGCAAATGTGCACTTCATTGAGACTAGAAATAGGAAAACTCATTTAAAATCCAGAGATCCAGTTGTTGAGAAACAATTTGATTTCCAGAACTTACAATACTTAGTAGCAAAAGAAAAACAAATCTTTAGTTTATTTTTTAATATACAAACTTTGGTTAAAAATAAGAATAATTTCTTTCGTTTAATATACCCTAAATTGCAACAAAATTTCGAATTGTTACTTTACTACGATTATCTTGATATTTTCTGTATCTAAAGGACAACAAATAAATTGCTTTCTGGTGGGACGCTAATTCTCTGTCTCTCTTTTAGGAACTTCTTTGCTCTGTTTTTAGTGATTTTAGTTATAAATTGGGACGCACGCCCATTAAAATAATAATGTTGTCACGAGATAATCTTTAGTTATTACGAGATTTGCTGGGGTGGCTGCTGGGATCTAAAAATCTGGTGGAAGCGTGCCGAGCAGCAATGTGTTTCGTAAATTTGCATTTGGGAAGTGGAATGACGTATGATTTGTACAAATTAAGCAGTGAGGGAGAGAAAATGCGTGTGTACGCGCGCGCGCGCGCGTGTGTGTGTGTGTTTGTGTGTGTGTGTGCGAGAGAGAGAGAGAGAGAGAGAGAGAGAGAGAGAAGGAAAGAAAGAAAATGTATTTCAGTGACAAAAATGCAAAAATACATATAATGAATTAAAACAAAACATATAAAGATTGAAAAGAAATGTGGTGAAATATTCTATTATTCAACTCAATGTTTTTGTAATAAAATTGGTAATCTCCAACACAATGTTTTATACGGTAAATATAGCGTGTGTATTTCAGTTTCTAATATGCTTTTATTAGAAATATTTATAATAATTTAAATGGGGAGTGATATTTTATGATAGATTGTTATTAATCTTATAACAATAACATTCACGATGTCAGATTTTATTGTAAGTCAATGTTTTCACCATAAAATTCGTATGAACCAATTGATATTGGTAAAATATTCAGTCAATCCATCTATTTAGATGATCAGTATATCATGTAGGCTTCAGTTTGTAAGATTTAAAATAGTGATCATGTTATCAGGTTTTAACATGCAAACAAAATAACTACACTGTTTTTTTATTTATAAATAAATTCAAAAGATATAAGTTACAGAGTGTCGGTGAAAAGCAATGACTGTTCTTGAATTAAACATATTTAATGACTGTTTAAACATATTTACCGACTGTTCTTGAATTAAACATATTTAATACACAATGTATGCAAAAATGAACACTAAAGACAGAGGACTCCAAATCTAATCTTCAATTTAGTCTCAACCGTATTATTTCACTTTTAATTCAGAACATGTATACCTGCTTCATAGGCGTGTATCAGTTCTTTCACATCATCATCATCATCATCATCATCATCATCATTCAAGAATCGCTGTGTTTTCTTAATTGACCCAAACAGATGAAAGTGCAGAAAGTTTTACTCCATGCTCGTTCATTGCGTCCATCAGCATTCTGAGTAGCCCCTTTACACAGACGTTTGGGCAACAAAAGAATTGCATTTGAAACTGCATGCTCTAACATGATTCACATGAAGACTTTCATCGAGTTTTGCAGTAGTGATTCCTACGTAATAGGAATAGCATTAGCCTGTTTAACCTTATCTTTATTTACAGCAGAAGCAGACTTGTCACCCACGAAGGTCACTTTATCTTTTCTCTCTTGTATTGCCATTAAATTTACTGATCCCATATTCTTACTGTGCTTACACCAAGTACAGCCTTTCCATAAACATTCACTAACCTCTGTCAAAAGTAAAATTTAAAAAGATCTGACAACTCTTTGCTTTCTACGTGTACCCAGAAGGACAGCCATTTTGAAAGAGAACTATGGTTAGAAAAATGGAAAGGAACTCTACAGAGAAGGGAAGTCCATTCCAATAATTTGGTATCTTTGAAACCACATTTTTGGTAAAATGATTGAAGGTTAACTTTGCAAAATGTGAATGAGCATTGTCTTGCATAAATATACTATTCAGCATGAAATGTCTTGGTTACAAAATGTCTTCTTCTTTTATGTGCCGTGTCCCTTAGGCGATCATAGCCCTCTATATCTTCCTGTCTCTTGTAGCTCTTAATACGTTTTTGCCTCTGTTATTTCTCCCAAGCACTGTTTGTTACCCGCTGCTTTCTTCTGCCTCTTTTTGCCTCAGTCTGTCTCGTGAAGATCAGATTTTACACGCATTACGTACCCCATTACGTATCCCAGAAATTTCAACTGTCTCTTCCTGATGTTAATTATACGTTTCTTTTTGTTTCCATTTTCTCCAAAACCTCGGCACCACTTAAAAAGTTGCAATAATTCACTGCATTTATCATCATCATCATCATCATCATCTGTTGAATTAATATGACAAAACTGATACACTTCGAAGCAAGATGAAAAGGAAATGGAAACATCGTCGTATCGAAAGAAATACCGCCAGTCACTACTTGAATTACACAAATTTGATCTCAGCTAAAACCTTGCATTTGAATAATTTATAACAAAAATAATTACTTCTTTCGTTGAATAATTACAGTCATCCATTTAACTAATCTCCTAAAGTCAAGGACCATTTCCGAATCTAGACAATTTTAAGTTCTTGAATGGAGAGCATATGTCTGTCCATACTTTGGCTATACCTCAGTCATTTACAGCCTAACTTTAAGCTTCTAACCACTCGTAGTACTAATAGGTTATGACATAACTGTGGGTAATAGAGTGTATCAGCTCAGATTTACTGCCTCATAAACTTTGGCCATACGTAAATTTCTGTATACATAAAAATGATATATTTGTGAATGTTTAAGTTTTCACAATTTCGAATTAAAGATTTTTATAATAATTATAATAAGATTATTATAGTGTACCATTATTCTAATTTTAACTAAAATAAAATATCATGGCGGCCTTGAACGTCACATCATAGAACTGAAAATGCTATTTCAATGACTGTCTCTACAATTACAAAAATTCTCCTTAATTCGAGAATAGGTTTCATTACATTTCTACAAAGAGTCACTTGTCTTTCTGGGCTGCAGTGTTAAAATATTTGAAACGTTTTATGTTTCTTTTTTATCAACTCTTGATTCACGAATTGGTCACGTCACAACTAAAAATACGAAATGAACTCTTTTTAATTAATCGAGCATATAAGAGAATATTTTATTAACATTTATTGTATTTACTTGGTAATTTTCATGAGGGTGGATATAATGTAGTCAACTGTTTAACAATAGAATATAACAATTAAGTAAGCTTTATTATTGCAAAAAAAAAAAATGATAATAATTGTTTAGAACTAAAAAATGATTTGCAAGTGACAAACAAAATAGAAGTACATTTAAACTTTTATAAACGTTTATCCACTATAGCCAGATTTGGCTAGTCAATTTTGGAGCTTTCATGTAACAGCGGTGTGCTTCGAAATTAGTGATTTATTTTTGATTTTCACCGAAAGAAATCGATTTCCATGGCAACCAGGCATAAACTGATGGATGTTCTGTGAACCTTCTAAGCCCTTCCTAACTTTAATGACAAATTTGATATCGGGAGATATTGGCAAATTTATTCCCAATGAGTTCCCAACTTGAACATCGACATCACTGGCAGTAAGTCTGCATTTATAATAGCTTTTGTATTTTTGACAATCTTATTACATTAGGTTTCCATTGAAACAACTAATATCAGATTCATGAGTAAAATGTCTGCATCCTAGAGTCTGACAGTGGGCTTACTTTTACCAGAATATACTTGGAATAGAAGGGATTAACTTGTGTATATAGAATGAATTTAAAAATAAAATGAATTTAAAATTTGCGCTCTCTTAAAATTGTTAAAATGTAGAAGTAAACTCTGTCTGAAAAGAGTTGTTTTTCTTGATCTGAAGCAGAAATATTTTAATTAAAGAATAGTTAGTTTGTGTACTAAAATATGCTGTCGTTTACGTCTGTGCTTTTTATTTCTTTACGCTGAATAATGTGTTCACTGAGACTACACTGGAACAACGATACAATCCCACTGCTAATATCATTGTATTGCATCGAGTTACGGAATCAAAAATACATATAGAAATAAATAAATGTTTGTTTTAATTAGTAATATTATGGTAGACTAAAAGGAAATTCTGTGTCACATAAGCGACTCTTTGGTCAATGGACAAGGAAGTAAACGATGTGTACGTGCAAGTATGGAATGATAAATAAATTAGAATCGGAACAAGGGAATGGTACGCATGGAAGGACGAATAGGTGGCGTGAACAACAAGGGCGCATAACTCGGGTGTGGCTGAGACTGGTGTAGTGGGCAACACACCACACACGATAAGAATCACGTTACCGTAATGTGCCTCTGCTCTGAAAAGGCCATTGCGAAGAAGAGCGAGGTATGTTATCAGTTGTGACGAGAAGAGGTTATTTTAAACCTCAATCCAGGAGGAATTCGCTAGAAAAAGATAAAACAAATATTAGAAGAAAAATATATATGCAAAATAAAACGAACAATACAAAGCGTGACCTTTATTTTTCATAACCTTCATAGGCTGTCATGTTTAATGAATGCTACATTGTTAATAATGAATTAGCACAGTTTATATAGTGTAATAATAACTGTTCAGTGTCGCTATAGTTACAAACATACTCCAACTACAAATATTAAATGTTTTAACAATTCGTGGTCGATTACAAAATATTATCTAATAAGAAAATATACTATGCAAAATATACTATACAAAATATGATACGTTGAAAGTAAGTAAGTAATCACAATCAATAATTAATTTGGAAATATTTTCATTTTTTTTTATAGATGACCTGCTATTTGAAATCTTCCTATCAATATAATTAACTGAATTAATTTATAGGCTGAATTCGAGCAAGCTTTTAAAGATATATTATTTTCCACCTTCCATTCTTTGATTGTTGCGGACAGATACCCTCATTTTTTTCAACACGTGTTGTCTGATTTATTATATGGCCTTTCTCCGGTTTACTATCGTTATTAGATAGAAATGGGCATTTTATCGTCTTGCAATAACCTCTAATTCCGTACAAATAATCATTTTTGTTTAGAGTATGAATAGACACAAGAATAAGAAGAATAAGAATAAGAATAATAAAACCTACCTCTTTTAAGTTAGGCTTATTCTAGTACCAAAAGGTGTTTTTAACTTGATGCAGAAAGTGGGGTGTTTTGAAGAAACAAATAAAATGTATTAGAAGGAAAACTTTACGAAATACTCTTCACCATAATCCCTGAGAAAAATTAATTCTCGCCATAATTTTTTAGACTAGTACACAAACTACTACTCCACGGCAAGTGCTATTTGACTCAATGCTAAGAATAGATAGACAGATTGTTTTTTACGTCTTATCAACCTTTTGCGGGTTATTTTAAGCCAAAAAATATTTTTAAATGGCCAGATATTACTGAATTACTGATACAAGTCCCACTAATTAATCCATAGCTGGGGGTAGAAGACGTTGATTCATACCTTTCCCATGGGCATATTCGCGTAAGTGAATATAAGAAACCCAACTGGAATTGGAACTCAGCTCTCCGGTTTCCAATTACGAGCTGTTATCATTACACCACCCGCACATCAAAGCTTACAGCACCTGGCATTCCCAAGCGGTCACTCAACTAGTACTGATCAGATTCAACGTTGCTTAACTTCAGTGATCATATGAGAACCAGTGCTTCAACGTGATATGACGGTAAGCTCAATGTTAAGAAGAACTAATTTTCATCACAAGTGACTTACTCTTAAGTTACACGAAAAATATATTAAAAAGATGCTTGCTTCATCCAAATATTAGTTACGGTCAATATATTTTGTTATTATTTTCAATAAAAGACATTGATTTTTCTGTCTATTGGTTATTAATTATTGAGTTATTTTTTAGGCTTTCTTATTTGTTTGGAGTAACGCATTTGCAATAAATAATATTATTTAACGCCGTTAAAAATGGATAATATTTTTAATATAATTAGAGTATTATGTTTATATAATTTAAAACACAATCTAGTAGAGCATAAATAGATGATGATCTAACGTCATGTTACGAAGGATGCATCTAATTTTAATATTCACATTTTCCTTTCAGACTTATCGAAAGAAGTTACAACGTATATTTCGAACTGAAATAGGAACTGAAAAACACCCCTTGGGCGTCAACCACAATGGATCAGAGTCAGTTGAAAGTAGCCAGGTAAACAAGAGGAATAACAGCTGGCATTGCAATTCGTCATCTGCAATATTCTTGGTGGTCGTGAGCAGTTTCTATCCCCGTTTTTCTTTATTTTCTTAAACAGTGGCATTAATAACAATCGGCCTACTAATGAAATATTGTGTTTCTAACAAGAATCGAACCTGTATCTCCTTTTTCATCAGGGAAACAGTTTCTATAGTCAAACATGCCTTTACAATTTTGCCACGAAGCCCGAGTTGATAGAGCAAGGTAAACACATTTCTCATTGGGCCTTTTTTAAAAAATATTTCATTCCAAGCAAGGCGGGAGTGTCACTAGTATGCAGGGGTTACGGGGAGTGAAATTGAGAGAAAAGACTGGATATAGCGGGAGACTGAGGAAAGGATAAAATATCGATGAAGATGGCGGTTGACGTTTCATTTAAATTTTTGAAGATTTTAGTTATAAGGGAAGAAAGTAAGCGATTTCTGCTGTCGGGAAGCGCGAGAAAACAAACTGTTGGCGGTTACATTTAACTATTTCAACAGTAAAATGTTGGGACCTAGATGCCAATCTGGTAGCACGCTTAAATTCATGTAGTCGGGCACCAGGGAAAAAGTCTCGTCAGAGCAGTTGCCATGAAAATATTTGTAGAAAAGACAGAAGGCAGCCACATCACGTCTGTGAGAAAATGACTGATGTCGAAATGTCAAGTCAAGATCCATTACATTACAGATCCTTCTTTGGATTTTGTCAAGAACCTCGAGATGAACAACAGGGGCACCAGACCAGATATAGCAACAGGATTCAATGCATGGGCGAATGATAGATTTGTAGATGTGCATGATAAGAAAAACCTTCTGGTACAATACCATTAACTCACTTTCCTAGCAGTAGATTCAATGTAGTTGTTCCACTTGAAAGTCAGTTAAAAACGTGAGGTCAAGTAGGCGCTGTGAGACGCTCTCCTGGAGTCGAGCATCAGCTATGCTGAGGGCGGGCAGGGAAGTTTCTCTATGATGGTTAAATGAGAGAAGTTTAGTTTTGGAGGAATTAAAATTTACAAGCCATTTCCTGCCCAGTTAACTACTGATTGGAGGTCTTTTTCAAGGGCATCGGCCAGGTTAACTTTGTCAGTTCAGGAGTAAATGGTAGTGTCATCTACTTCGGAACTGATGACATGAGGAAGATCAGTGAGGGACTTGAGGGACACCCGCATTCGTGTGAAGGGTTGTGGAAGTGAGCCCGTTCAGGACGACCTTCATTTCACGATTTGATAGGAATGATTAGATTAAATCAAACAATCGTCCTGTAATACTGTAGCTCTGGAGTTTACGTAAATGACCAACATGGCAAACCCTGTCAAATGCCTGCCTAGAACCACAGCACGAGCTTCACAGTTATTATCAAGAGCTTGATATACATATTCAGTGATGGCTATAAGCACATTAGCGGTAGACCGGGAAAAATGGAATCCATATTGTTTGTCAGAGAGTAGGTCGTGAGAGGTAAGATGTTTAACCATTTCAGCATTACCGAAAAGCGGTAAGAGACTAATAGGGGTCAGAAGGTTCTCTAGAGTTCTTAAAAACTACAGACGAGGACTTTCAACCAGCTGGAAAGCAGCGAAGCAATAGTTGTAAAGTTTGGACAGAACTGGAACCAGCTTTGAAGTATTTTTCTATTATCAGCGTTTCTTATTTTGATTTTATGCATCCTGTCAATGAGCACGCCGTTTGTCCTGCAACTTCTCGTATTCTTAGCTGCATATCTGCCTTATATATGATACTAATTCTTTCTGTCTTTGCACACTTTCGTTAGGCTCTTCCCCTTTAGGCTGTCTATATTTTTTCTAAATTCTTTGTGTAATTAACCTGTATCATACCCTGCCATTGTTTGCTGTCTTTTTTTCATAATATTGAGAACTTTATCTGTCATCCACCCATCTTTTCCATCTCTTGGTTTCCTGGGAGATGAACTTGTTTGCTGACGTATTCTAAAGCTTCCCTTAATGTGTTCTACTTTGAATTTACCTTTTAATTTCATTTATTTGCTTTTAGCACTGTTAGTATACGGCTTTTTGCAATTTGGGCCAATCAGGTGTCTGTCGTATTGTAATTTTGGGTGTTGCTTTGGCTTTCTTTCATTTCCTATTCTGCGACTACATATTACTGGAAGGTGGTCACTCCAACAGTCGGTATATCGAATTCGAGAAAAAAGGGTACCAGATGAAAAAGAGTACCAGATGAAAAGAGTACCAGATGAAATGTTCACCTGAAGATGGTCGGAGGATAAACCTGTAATAGAGAGAGGTATACACTTACACAACCACATAAACACACATATACATTTTTTTATTGAAATTGGACTGAATCTAGCTAGTGAAATTATATCAGAGCATTTTGTTTACTGATGAGGAAATCTGATCTCGCCTTTGGAATTGGGTCGTTGAAAAGACAATGGAAATGATCTAAATAAATTTTATCGGTTAAAAATTGAAATAGAGCTTATTCAGGCTATGAGAACTTTGAAACTCACATGATTTTGGGTTGAAAACGGCACTCATGATAATCACGTGCAGACCAAGGGTCGATTTATGATCAGTCAGATTTATCTATATAAACGCGTAGTTATGCTGAAAAAGTGCCAGACGGAAGAGAGAGACGAGAGAGACCGCGATCGGTTGGCACATCGTCGTCGCGGTGTTACAGGAGAGACGGAAGAGTCGGGGAACGAGACTATTGTCGCAGTGAGTCGAGAGATTTTGCGGGAGAATTTTGGAGGAGAGAGAGAGAAGACTAACCCCTGTTCTGAGAAGTCTGTAGGAGATGGGACTATTAGTCATAAACCTACCCTAGGCGATTCAATACGCGTTTATCACGCAAACCTCTGTTGGGAATTCGCTGGATGCATTTTGTCTTTTTCTTTCCTCATTTATGTTAAATGTTTTTATTCTCCCTGTAACCTCTGTTCTGATGTTATCTTCTTATATAAAAGACGTCAATATTTCCGCCATTGTTGTTTGGCTTCTGCAGATATTATTTCTTGTTTTATTTTGCCACATTCTAAACTTCCTAGCGCCAACTCTCACAGCCGTGTCCACATCCCCAGTCGACCATGAACGTATGGACAACACCCCGCTTACTGGATCTAAAAACTAACACAGCGTGGGCAGCGAACAGGACTTGACCTGTTGACCGGTCGAAATAATCTACGGGTACTCAGGGAGCGTACGGCCAGTTACCCCTAAGTTCAGTTCGGACCGAGTGGACACCTCAACCCAAAGAGGAAGACGCCGGAGGTTGAGGGGCTGAAGAGATGAAGTGGTAGAAACCAAACGAACGGTTAGGCGATAGCAAATCAAAAAAGAGAACATTAGAGAACAAAATCATTACATGTGAAACTTTAAAAACTAAATAATGTGTCTATTTTAATGAATTTTTTTTATTAACACAATATATTCAATTAGTGATATATATATATATATATATATATATATATATATATATATATATATATATATATATACTCTCAAACATTATTTTGTAGACACCCTGTTTTTTAAACGGTGTGAATCACTTCCCTCTCTATCACACGCACGCGCACACACACACACACACACACACACACACACACACACACACACACACACATATATATATATATATATATACAAATAATGTTAAAATATCTTTAAAATAATAACCTACTAAAACTTAGATCAGAATCTTTTACAAATGCATTCCTGTGTATGTATCCTATTTCCTATTTGTTTCCTATTTGTTCGTTATCATATCACATGGTGTATGTGGGTGTACTTTTCTGTAAATACGAAACTTAATGATGAAATTATTTGGTATTATTTGTTATTCAAAAGATTACTATAAAAAAGAGAAATATTACTACACATGCCAGAAATATTTCTTGTTTTTCTGACAACAGAAAAGATATCGAATAAATAATATTAAACCGTTTGGCTCATTCGAAAAGTTCAGCTATTTGCCGACTTCTAACAAATTCAATATAGTTGAACATAAAAAATGCATTATCGCTTTGTTATGAATTACAAAGAGTAAGTTTAAAATAATTCAAATTGTTGGTTATGCTTAAGCAATTACTGGTTACTTTTTCGAGTAATTAAAAAAATATCCGAAAAATACATAAATGAAAAAATCAGATATTTCAAATTATATTTGCATATTTTCATGGAAACGCCGATCAAATTTCATATTCAACAGGTAATTCAATTTTTACAAGACTGATGATTCGTTCTTAATAGGCACAATTGCTATTTATTATTTTCAGAGATACAATCTTCAATTGAATAGATGAATTCAACAACATTAGTCTCATGTAGGAGATTGGTGGATTGAGAAATATTATTTTTTTAATAGTTAATGGATTAAAATACACATATAGGATTTATCTTTTATTATTAAAATAGAAGGTAAATCTTATATGTGTATTTTTTTATATAGATTTAATACATCTATGTATTATCTTTCTTATTCGTAATTAATCCTTTTTGTAATTATGGTTCATTTGATTTCTGTAGAATATGTTAATTGTATTGTGATTATTATATTGAAAATTCAGGTTTATATTAACATTATTATTGCGTAAGTGAAGTCTAATTTGATAATCAACAGTATAATTAGGGAAACCATTGAGAAGAAGTATTTGTTTTATGAAAAATTGTTTCATACGAGGAGATTAATTTAGCTCTTTGGATAAAATTGTCTATGACAGTAAATTTTTCCGGACAATTACTTTTATAGTTTAGGGAACATAAATTAAAACTTGATGATTTTTTTTATATTGTGACGTACGGAAATTATGACCGTTATAATCAATAAGTCAATCTGGCAAAGGAATTTTCCCATTAATGTTTAAACTTTAACACAGAATTAAAAAAAAAATCTTTAAGTTCTATAATATTATAAAAATTATAAAATATTTCATAATAATATAACAAAATTATAAAGATTAGAATATTATAAAAAATAATTAAAACGAGAAATCTAATTATCAAAAATAATATTTCCCAATCCCCTCTCCCCACTAAGCGAAAAGCTTTCCTGCGTTTGAATTCATCCGATTCAATTGAAAAAAAAAAGTAACTGTACTTTAAAAACTAGTTTTCATGAATATGCAATGCCTATATCTGCTATTTAAATGTTCAGATTTAATAACTGAAAGAGCGTGTATGTCAAAGACACACACACATCTGCATGCACACACGTACACACACATATATGTATCATAACGGCTGTTTCTAGAAAAATAAAAACTTTAATTTAGTTTCAGAAAACTGAAGATTAATTTGCAAAGAACTTTACGAGCTAGGAAAAGTTACATCTAGAAACATTAACTCGGACACGCAAATAAATTACAATGTATGAAGCATTCACTGGAAGTTTAATTGTGATAATTGTAAATTTGAATAGCTACAATAGCTGCTATTTCACATTTCTTTTTCTTTAATTGAACATTCGTAAACATAGAGAAATAAATAAAGGATTTTTCACTTGCGATTTTTCGAGGAATACAAACGCAAAGTTTATATAGTGAAGTAAAATTGGATCAAAGACCCAACACTACAAATATACTCTTCCGAAGAAAAATATCTGTGGTTACATTCGTTGTCTTCTGCAATACCGATGATAAATGATCTCCAAAGAAAGAGGCTTGTAGCGATAAGGGTACCATTATTGTTTATTCCCGACGGAATCGCCAAATATGTAGCGGTTGTATTACCATTGTTGTTGTGAACGTCGAACGATGAAGGTCGCGGTCATCATTATTGTAGTGATTGAGTTACCAATATTTAACTTTGACTAAGAAAGATGAGATTAAGGACAATGCGTGAAAGCAATGCAATTTATACTTGACGTAAATAGCACATAGAATAAAATACAAAACTGAACTGAATGATTCCAAAACATTAGATTTTTGTTAATGTTTGATGTACATGCGTGCGAACTGAAATGGTAGGACAGAGTCGTGTCCCTTTGATTAGGTATTAGTTGTACCGGAGTTCATATTAAGAAAGTTTGTAATTGTGAGTTGCAAAGTTGGTAAAAGTTCAGGAGTGATTTCAGAGTTCGTGAATGTTGGTAATTGTCTTTAACGTCTGGTCAGCAATAACTAAGACGGGAGTTCCTGAAGGTTACATCTTGGCACTTGGTGCGAGAGAGATGAATGAAAAGAAAAACTCGAGGGAGTTTACACGTGTTCGGTTTATATAATGGTCGTGTACTACGTGGGAGGCTCAAACGGAGAACGCGGGAAAAACAGATTGGTCGCGTGTGCAGGCGGTTTGATTGGTCGGAACTGACCAATCAGCAAGCTAGATTGGAGGTGATTGACCAATGAATACTTGTTATATTTATATGAAAGTAGGATGTTACTTACCAGATAGGAAGAGTGCATTTCCTAAAAAGAGGCAAGGCTGGTTGTTGTGGAAGATCCCACAGGTGCTATTTTAGTCCTATTTTCCGATGTAAATGGACGGAGAGTTGAATGTCAGTTTTATTTAACCACGGTCATATCCTATATACTTTATGTTTATTTTCTGTTTAGAAATTTATCTGTATATTTTTTGTTTTTGTTTTTATTGCGGATTTTCGTCATCATTAGCAAGTTTCGTCATTTAACCTACTAACATTTCCAACATTTTTCTTTGTTTTTTTTTTATTCACTAGTTGAAAGTAAGATGTTGCACAGTTCCGATTGTAACAATTTAATGCAACTACTGAGCTATACGAACAAGTAATTGAAATAGTTCTCTTAGTATACTTTGACTTATTCCATTTATTCGAACTGTTGTTCTCTTCTTTGATCGTTGAAAATGTTATTATAGATATGGCGATGTACCCTTTGGCCATCTTCAGATGTCTATTACTTTGGTTGACATGGGATATCTAGTATGTTTTGATTATTGTTTTATTTTCCCCTGTGATGTCGAAAATTGCAGACGACGCGCGTAAACTAGAAAGACTAAAAAAAAAAAAAAAATGAAAAAGATTAGTAATTTATAAATATTTGAATTATTTTACTCTGTCGACAGGAAATCAGACGCGTGCTGTAAATTAACGTATTTTTTAATTACAGTGTAAACAGTAACTATATATATATATATATATATATATATATATATATATATATATATATATATATATATATAAATTAAAAAATGTAGTATCTGTTGAATTAACTATTTTGGTTACTTATTTCGGATTCAGTTTAACTGCCGACTCATCTGTCATGGTTTAGCATCCCGCTACCACTTTCTAATCAATGTTGGATTTTGTGCAAATCTGTGCAAAAAGTGGATCACAGAGCTTACCCAGCTTCATACATATTTTCAGAAAACCTCAACTTCTGATTGGTCACTTAATATTTAAATCATGTTCGAATAACATCGACCTTGTTCATGAACTGACAAAAAATAATTCCGCCAAAATCTGTCAAAGCTTTTTCGAGCCTGTCACGTGATTACGTTGATTATAAATATCAGACACGAATTTGTTCTTCCTCTTTCTTGATTTGATTCGCCTACGAAAATGTAGCCTTAAAGGAAACTGCGTTCCGATCCCAGTTCGGGCGGACGCTGAAAACATATTCACACACGCACACGTACGTCCGAAATTTTATAAACTACATTACAAACATACTAAACTTTTCACACTTCATTTCAAACTACGAATATTCAACTACAAGCAATGGAAATTTATTTACAAGCATTAATAAAGCATTTTCTAAAGCTAAAAGTTTATTCAGCATTTTCTCAACTTTATCATTCTTTCAACTAGGTAACTCCATGAGATCGCTAAAAAAAGAGCA